TTGACAAGATTAATCAGTACTTCTTCTTGAACGAACTAACAGATATGGTTTTGGAAGAATTTCGTCAATTGGATCAAAATGTGCATTAAACCCCCAGATACTCTATAATCCTAAATAGGACCCCATTGGTTACTTTAAAGGACAGAATGGACTAAGACAAGGCAACCCACTCTCTCCTTATCTCTTCACTCCAACCATGGAATGTTTCAGCAAAATCATTGACAAGGAGACTAGAGAGGGAAATTCATTTCACCCAAGATTCCGAGAATCAGCCCCAGCCCTTCACACCTGCTCTCTGTAGATGACCATCTGATCTTTGAAGAAGTTCATCCATAAACCCACCAATCCCTTAAACATCCCCATAACACTTCCAAAACCTATCAAGACTCCAAAAAAACCACTCCACACCAACATATTCTTCTTCCACTCCACAAATTCTGCCAAAAACTAATGTTAATGCTTTTTGAACTACATCCAGTCGAACTTACCATCAACTTACCTTGGTTTGCTACTCTTCAAAGAAAAGCTCACAAATCACCTTTGTCAACCTTTATTTCGTAACTTCATATCTAGGCTTAAAGGTTGGAAAAATGAAACCCTTACGTACCAAGGAGATTAACCCTCATAAATACATACCTCACCCCATTCTCCAGTAGTGTTCCTTATACAAACTTCCCTCCACCACAACCAACAAACTTGAGAAGCTCCAGAGGGCCTTCCTTTGGGGAAAACAAGCCAAAGCAAAAACACCCAAGCCTTGTCAAATGGACCTCAGCTTGTAACCCAAGAGTGACGGGGGGGATGGTATCAATTGAATTAAGGAAACTAACTTGGCCCTACTAACCCAGAATGAGTGTTGGCAAGTGGGGAAGGCTCTTAGTTGTCATCATTGACTAGGAAAAAGTATCTTTTGAGGCACTATTTGTGAGCCTCTAGTACCGCAAGTAGAAATTCATGCGCTTGGAAAGGCATCCATAGACCCTACCTATTGTAGATGAGCATTCCCAAAGAGATTAGTTGAACTTCCTCTTAAGGTGAATGTTTCTCCCCCAAGAGTGTCTACGAGGTGATTGGAGAGCATGGAAGTAGAAACAATATCGTCAAGGACATATGGTAAAACCGGTTCCTCCTAGGGTATCACGATTCTCTTGGTTGGCATACCAAAATAAGCTTTTCACAAATCATACAATCCAAAGATGGGTCCTCACGTGGATAACATATGCTACATGTGCAAATCTGAGAGAGTTAGACCAACTATGCACCACTTGAAATTTTGCCCATTACATTCACCAAATAGTGTTTTGGAGATTCAATACTCAGTTGCTATGTCATGTACCCAACACCTCAAGGCCAATTAGCTTAAAAAGCAATTTTCTGACAAGTTTGTTGATAAATGTGGAGGGTAGTTGTCCTGTATATGTAACTTGGTAAGAAACAAACCAGAGGCCCAAAGCAAATGGAGATCAACCTATTCAAGAGGTGAGGAAAGAAATAACTTGGAAACTTCAAAATAGCGTTCCGGATACTCACATACCATTCCCAAAGAATGAGATTAGAGTCTTATCTATGTGAGATGGGACCTTTTGCCCCTCACACCAAGAGCTTAGAGTGAGTGTTGTAGTGAGGATACTTGTGCATAGAAAGCTCTTAAGCTACTTACTTTTATTCCTTGTATATAAACTTTGTACTACTTTCTCATATCAATATAAACGGGTAGGTACCCGCTCAAACCCCTCGCTAGCTTAGCGAAAAGGCAGGGGGAAAAAAGAGTTAGGAAACTCAAACTCAAACGAATCCTAAAGACATAAATAATAAAATCCTGAGAACTGACAAGGCTCAGCCGGTTCCTATGGTCTTTGTTCTAGAATTGGCAAACTGCGAAGACCGAGTAACTCAAGCGAGTCTAAAGTCGAACTTTTCGAGTTTTGTTCAATCTATTTTCCAGTCATGAGGTTAAAATTTTTATAACATCAAATTTATACTCACATAGTCAGGAATATAATACTATTTTTTTTTTTTGATAAAGTTAACCTAGGAATATAATATCAATCTTTTTTACACTTACATGGTTAAGAGTATATATGCTTCACAATTTATGCTCTTATCGCTAGGATATTGTACCACATAGTTTATGTAAGTGTTTGTAAATGAGGACTCGGTTGGGAATCACCAGGGTTGCTAGCCTGAGACACCACCAAGTCAATCAAGTCAGATGTCTAACTCGGACAAGTTAATTGGTAAATAAAAAATGAGGACTTGGAGCTAGGTAGACTAGCTGAATTGAAGGGCATTTTCATCGAAACCCCACAGGTACCAAGTCAAAGTGACTGGGGCAATTCCATGCCCTAGTCACTAATTTTTGCATCATTAGTTTATACTCACAACGTCAAGAGTATCATACCATCAAGTATATACTTGCAGGATCATGAGCATTATTGCACCTAGTATATATACTCATAGGGTTCAAAATAATATCCTATCTAATATAAACTCATAGAACAACTTTAAGTTTATGGATTGTATACTATGATACCATTTATTTTTTGTACAAGGAGGTCACAATCACTTTTAGCCCTTAGATGTGAAATCCAATAGATAAAAGTGCATCACAACATTTTTATTTTGGACTTTGTACCCAAACAGCGACACATCCTCAACCACGCAATTTCAAATCTAATGGTCAATGATGATTGTGACCCCCTTGTATCGAAAGTAATTGGTCTAACTGTATACATTTCCTTGAGTTTATACTCTCAGGGACCATTTGGGTACCTGAAAATATATTACATGATAATTGATTACTAGGAAATATAACATTTCCACCGTTTGGGTACACTTAATAGTAAGGAAATAGAAAGAGATTACCCGAGATTTCCCCAAAAATCATGAAACACATTACATTACACGCAGTGAAAGGTGAAAAATCCATTATGCGCTTGACGGTGAAAGGTGAAAAATCTATTACGCGCTCGACGGTGAAAGGTGAAAAATCTATTACGCGCTTGACGGGTAACCTTTAGAAATCTTTCGCGTGCGTCTCTCTGCTCTATCCCGGCTTAACAAAATGCCAACTTGTCTACTCGGTTTGAATAGGTGCTCCCTCCCTCTCTAAGCCCGTCTCCTCTCTCTTCACCCCTAATAACTTACTCTTGAACCGTAATAACCAGTGCTCCCTCCCTCTCTAAGCCCGTCACCTTTCTCTTCAACCCTAATAAACTCTCTAAGCCCATCACCTTTCTCTTCAACCCTAATAACTTACTCTCGAACCGTAATAACAAACCCCTCTCTCTTCAACCCTAATAACTTACTCTTGAACCGTAATAATTGGTTTGCATAAGGTGCTTCCTCTCTCTTTAAGCCCCTTATTCTCATTTGTACTTTTTTCTTTCTTTTTTTTTTAAGCCCCTCTATTTTTAAGCCCCTACCTCTACCTCTTACTCTCATCTGGACTTTTTGCTTTTTTTAAGCCCCTACCTCTACCTCTTACTCTCATCTGGACTTTTTGCTTTTTTTAAGCCCCTAACTCTCTCATCTGTACTTTTTCCATTCCCCCTCTCTCCTTAGCATATCTAATCAATGAGAAATTACACAGCACAATTATAATAAAAAATTTCACCCAACATAAGAAATTACACAACACAATTATTATAAAAAATTTCACCCAACATAATCCTCGTAAGAGATCAGTAAAAGCTCAATTGAAATAAGATACCTCTTTAGTTTCCTCCAATAACTCAAAATTTCCTACTGCAATTATCAAACCTTCTAGTTTACTAATCAAACTTCTTCCCATTTTACAACTTGTATCATAAAGATTTTTAATTTGGTATCATAAATTTATATTTTATTCCAATCATATTATTCCAATGACTTATCAGGTTGAAACCAAAGTCTAATCATGTTAGAAGACATGTGATTCCATGTAAGTGCCAAAGGGATGCAAAATAAGTAAGAAATTATATGATGAAGACTTTAGAATGGTACAAGTTATTATTAGAAAATCTCTTTGCAATGGTGGTGATATTATTATTAGAAAATCTTTTTGAAATGATGTGATGATGACTTTAATTCCGCATTTCAATGGAATTTTGTGACAAAAAGGGAAAGAAATGATAGTTTATAAGCAAGTGCCGGCAAAATATTCATAATACATTTCCCATATTTCTTCCATACATAGCCAAACAAAACAGTAGCCACGTATTTCCCATATTTCTTCCAGATATAACCAAACAAAACAGTAGCCATGTATTCCCAGGTTGCATCTAAATACTACCCAAACAGTAACAATCCATTTGGAGGTAATGTATTACGCAGTAATGTATTACTACCAGTAATTTATTTTACAAACAATATATTTCATAGGCAACATATTTCCAGGTATCCAAACGGTCCCTCAGGGTTAGGAGTATTATATGTCACATAATTTATATCATTGTGCCTAGGAGTACTGTACTACACAGTTTTAAGGAGTCATTTCCTTTACAATAATATCCCAATTAAAAACTAATACCACATATGCGGCGCATTAAAACTTACAAGAAGTACAATAATATCCCAATTAAGAACTAATACCACATATGCGCCCCATTAAAACTTACAAGAAGGGTCCAAGACCATAATTATCATACAATTATTTACAAAAAGTAACATCCATATAAATCTAGAATCCCAACTATTAATCGAAATAATCAACATCCATGCAACCATGAAGACAAATTATCTCCTAAAGAAACAACAAGCAACAATTGTATATCATCAAAAGGGACAACAAACCCAAATTCCAAAACCAATCATAAACAAAAATTAACAACGAAATACACCATAAAGAAACCATTAACACAAATTACAGGAAATCCAAATGGTCCAAAAGTTCATTAAAGAAAAGGAAAAAAGAAAATCATAAACAAAAACATAACAAATCTAAATATATACTAAACAAATGGAATAGAAATCGAAACTCAATTCTGAAATTATTCAAAATTCAAAGGGGAAGAACTCACACTTTATTGAAGAGGTAAGCCGTGCCATATCGGCCCTGGAATTGCTTAGAATATATCTGATCATTAGAGGCCGAATGCGCCTTGCAGGACCTGCATTTGAAGATCTTTGGTCCAGGAAGATATTGAAGGTAAACAAGCCCCATTCATATGAATAATCAGCAAGCAATTCACCCAAAAAAACCCAAGAAACAAAATTCTTGTAAAAGAACTTTCTCTAAAAACAGATCATGAGAACTGAACCAGAAGACCAATCTTCTTTAAAAGAAAATATTTACCAGATAGATTTACATTAACAAAATATAATTGATATAAGCTTCGTTCCTAGTACTCTAGTGGTACAGTAATTCCTTTTTATTTTTGCAAAGAAATTTAATAGCCATTAACCAGAAGAGGCAGAAGCATTGGCGTGGAAGTATAGAAATTTGTAATTCATTGCATTTCTTTGATTTTATAGATAGGAAAATTACCAATTCACCCCATTTTCTTGTAGGATTTACCAAAGAGGCCCAAATACTCAAATGGGAAATGATCTAATGCAACCCAATCCTTTTCTCTTGTCGTAAGTCTACCTCACCCAGTTACTTTCCTTTTTGCACGTCTCTAGTGGAATGTTTGATTTCTAGAACTTCTGACTCTCGAAACTAGAAGTTCTGGGTTTCGTAGCACTTTTGCATTGGATAAAAGGAAATGCTATATAGTGAGAGGACTGTCTGAAACTTGCAATTTCCATGGAAAAGTGGATACCCGTTCTATGCCCGCCGTAGAAGACTGGAAATGAATGATCATTGCGGTGTCATTTTTTATTTTTTGTAAAAGTCGGCATAAGATAATTTTGGAAGATTTGTGTGCGTCATTGGGATACATCTTTAATAGATGGGTCGGGTTTTTATAAGGTTGCAATCTTAAACAATCCAATTAAGACGTATTTTGATTTTATCGTAATTTTGTTGAAAAAAAAACTTAGGATTATCTTTAAATCTATTTTTATATGTAATTATATAATTTTAAACTCCAAAAATTGTAAAAAGCAAGTAAATCTATAAACATATGAAAATCTTGAAAATGGATGGCCTAAATAATGTATTTCAAAATGCACTATTTCTATGACTCAGAATCTTTTTTTTCCATATGCATATATTTCAGTAACTAGATGATCAATTAGAGATTTTTTCAATACTAAAACAACCTTTTCGGATAGATTTTTGAGGTGCATCTGTAATTCTACATTTTAAGGTTGCAACCTAGGATCAACTTTTTCCTTAATGGATATAAAAAATGATTTCGGTATATTAAAAAAATCCCACTCAAGGTTTCAAGAGTACTTTGATCATTTAACTTTTCTTAAATTACTGAAGTGTATGAGGGCCGGAATAATGGGCGCTCCAAATTTCAGCTCATTATCATGTAAATAAAAAAAGATGAAGTTTAAATACTTAGACATGTTATCAAAATCATCGATCAAGTTCATGTCGTTGAGATGATAGCCTTATAGTTGACCTAAAATGTGGACTACTTGGTAACTTTGAAAATGCTGGCCTTATATTCACCTATTTTTATTTTTTCTCAACATTAGATTGAGATGAAATTTGAAGTGTGTGTCCACCTCATTCGGACATGTAGTATATATATATATATATATATAGGAAAAGTCTTCTCAATGCCTATAGGTGAAAATGAACAATGATTTCGTCTACCCTAATCACCGTCTAAAGTTCATCGCACAGTCACGATTGTCAAGTAGTGTTTTTATTTTTCAATATTTTTTAATAATCGGAATGAACTGAAATTTGAAGCGTATATACATCTTAGTGAAGCGCACCTAATAAAAATATAAAAAAATAATTTGATAAAAATAATTGACTAAAATACCCCTGAAACTTTTCAAGGGTATTTTGGTCAATTTATTTCATATAAATTATCTTTTTTAATTTACACTACGTAACGCCTATAGGCAAAAATGAACAGTGATTTTGCCTGCCCCCATCACCTTCTAAAGTTCATCACGCGGTCACGATTATCCGGGAGTATTTTATTTTTCATTTTTTTTATACAATTCGGAATGATCTGAAATTTTGAGCGTATATTCATCAATAATAAGGGAATCTTTGAAAATATATAAAAAAAATATTTTACATGAAACCAATTGACCAAAATACCCCTGAAAATTTTTGGGGATATTTTGGTCACTTTTTTTTCACGAATAATTTTTTATATTTTTATTAGATGCACCTCAGTAAGATGTATATACTCTCTAAATTTTAGCTCATTCCGATTTATAATAAAAAATAAAAAATAAAACACTACCAGACAATCGTGACCGCGCGATGAAACTTAGACGGTGATGAGGGTAGGTGAGATCACTATTCATTTTTGCCTATAGGCGTTAAG